TTTATGTACCGCAAAGACCGTCCAGCTGTTGGTGGTCTGAAAGTGGGTAAGTCCCGCCTTCATCCGAATTTTCGAAGGTAGTCTGTTCCGTTCTTATCTTGGAAATCATGGAAGAAGAGTGACAGTGGAGCATTCTAAGAGCAAAAGTAAGAAGAAGGCTAAGAGGACTAAGAGGTAGAGCAGCTAGAAAATTGCGACCTGACCGTAAAACCTATGACATTGAGAAAAGTGGGAAGTTGCTCGTCTCCAATAATCGCATGCACTTTTTCTTATGATAGAATTTGATGAATAATGGGAAATTGGACAGTTCAACATCGCTTCAAGTGTGTCACGTGATTCAATAATTCTAGTGGAAAAAGGAAACTTCGGGACGAAAACTTGCAATATAATTTGCTCTCATTTTCATCTTTTTTTCGATTGTCGATGCAAACCCTCCTGTAGCAGTAAAAGGGAAGAAATAGAGGTGTCTTCTCAGAAAGAAAGAAGAGGAAAAGAAAGAGAAAGAGGAGATGGAAAACGCTAAGAATAAGAAAAAGATCTCACTATTGAACGATTCCCTCTAAAAAACCGACATTAGAGGAAAGAAAGCTTTAGGATAATCAACAAAAGCGCTGCAGAGTTGTTCATAGCACTAATTGAACGTGATCGTCTACAGAAAACTCGCCTATATTGCAGTAATTTTAGATCCCATGTACATTTATGAACAATTCCTTATCACCTTACGAATTGCCCTTATTTAAGCTCGTGAGAGATTGGCACTTTTTCAGAGGAAGAAGTGATATACACCTCGCGCTAGGTTAAACAAGGACAGTTCGTAAAACATTATTTATTCATGCCGAGGTTAAGTGAAAGTCGGTCATTCAAACTCCTTAGTAATTTGCCATCCCAGCGTAGTTGTTCGATGTTCCTACTCACCGAACCGTAGTGTACAATGGAAACGGTAGTTTATAAGATATTCGACATGTTCATTTCAGAGTCGAAATAACTGTAAACCCACGCTGGAATACAGTGTGAGTCATCTACCTCTTGCAGTGTTGTGTAATGCTTTCATGACCTTCGTGCAATCGGAGACCACTGAACAGCTCTGGCATGTCAGTGGGACGAACGGAGATTGTACGAGCTCTAACCAGTAGATGATTAACAGAACGGATGTAGATTACACTGTTAGCAAAAATAATGAGAAAATGCGAATGTCCGAAATACTTGAAAGAAGAGAAGGGAAAGTCGCCTGATCTATGTCGGAGCAAAGTCTTAATCAAATGGTGAATGAGAGCGTAGTGAAGCATGGAAAATGGAAAGAACATGAAACGACCCTTTGGCCGAGTCAAATTTAATCGAATGATGAGTGAAACCTGAGTAGAGTGGCGAAAATGAAATGTCTTCGAAACAATCAATAGAAAACAGCAGCCGTAAAGAAAGCATATGACGAAACAATAAAACGACTGAATGAATCGTTTCTCATAGAGACGTTTTCCTTCGCGAATGACGTTCGTTCAATGTAGGAGCACCAATTACTTGAACGAGATGAATAGTGAGCAGCAGCAGAAGCCGTCTGTATGACTCTGGGAGAAGGCTTCAAGAGAGTGTAGCCCCATCCGTTCGATGAAGTTCACCTTACTTTGTGCGATTACGCTCCTTGTTCACAAAACCCTTCTGCCACCTCCACTCTTCATCGAATAGTTCACGGCCTCGTCATGTGTCAGATCCATTCCTAGGTGTAGAACTCAAATTCAAAAAGTTCATTCCATGTAGGACCTAAATGAAAAAGGAGTTTAACGTTTCCAACCGAAAACCTGTGCAAGAATAGATTAACGAACTAACCGTGGTCATCATCTCGTTAAAGACTTTAAAGATAAAGGTTGATACACCAAAAGCCTGAGGGTCATCATTTCGCTCAATTGAGCGGAAGGTATTGCGTAGTTTACCGATGTACGTTCAATTTACCCCATGATTGGACGACTAGGGATGATTCACAAAGCAGCTACTACAAACTCTTCTGAAAACTACCCAGTGCATTCAACATCATATCAAGGTTTCTATGGCCTTTCATTCAAAACATGCGATTTGGCTTAACGATTTGCGGAGACCTTCTTTCAAGTTCAATTCTCATGACTGATGTCAAAAAAGACTTGATTAACGAAGTAGATAATATCGGCAAACCGATGGAGAGCATTGAATGAGTCTTGGTCACTTCGACAGATATGAGTCATCCATCTAAGGATATTACAAGAATATACAAATATACTGCACACAGGCTAAATGAAGAGGATGAGAAGTGGACTACTCGAACAACTCGCTCATTTGCCGAACAGTAGGCCGAGTTCATGACACTTGACACTTGAGCGGCCCGTCCTTACTGGTTGTGCGGGTTCTAGCATATTCTCCACTTTCCGGAGTTTTGCTGGTTTAGCCATTGTGTTTCCCTGGAGTTCAAAAGTCAGTTTGGCCAAGGTCTGCCCCAGGTCGTCACCACCACAGGCAGACGCAGCCAGAGGAAGATTTATCACCATGCGACTAGTTCGATATCAGGACAGTGGTGGAACCTGGTATTGGTTTGCTCTTAGCTGGGCTCCCTGATGGAAACGCCAGACTCCTTCTCAGCTTGCGAGACCCTGCCGGGGGGACGAATCCCCCTCGCTGTACATCGCAATCCGACACCCAAGAACACCTCCCAGCCACAATGAGGCGGTAAACCGTTGGGAGGACGTTAAGTTCATAATGGTTTTAATTTGTCTTCGTACTTTATCATATAAAACACCAGAAGGATTCGTGGGAACTACAATAAAAAGTCATTGTAAGAATTTTTCTTATAAGCTATGTGCTCAACGGCTTAGACGAACAGGGAACTTCTTAGCTTTGTTAGGTAAAAGTCTGAAAGCCTAAGAATAATTTTATATCAAGAAGACTTTAATCACTAATGAATGATCGGATTTAGGACTTCTGTTTCGTAATAGAACGAAAGGAATCTATGGATGGCTGTAGGTCAGAAGAAAAAATTAGAAAAAAAGATAAATTACCACTATTTTGCAAATCGACGGTCACATAAACTAGGTATTAATGATCAATAAAAAGGATAAAGCTCTCGATGTTGATCAATCCCTGAGGGATGTGCCATGCATTCGACTCCATTAAGTATCGTTGGAGGTGATTGAATGCATATCTGGTCATTACAATGACTCGCGGTAGCTTACCGATGTATCGGATCAGTGCTATTAACCTTCCAGACAAGTCTAGTACCGATATACCGACCTCGGCGGGTTGGAAGACTTGGTGAGCCTTGAGCGCTTGGATAGATCCCGACTGTATTTCAGGGCGCCTCCGACCACTGCGCCACACGCGCCCGTTAAATGATCAATACGTCCTTAGTAATCCGATAAGTTAAATCTTTATCTTTTCCTTTCTTTAATAAAAGGAGGAGATAGAGATGATAATGAAAGCGGCAAGTGTAAACTATATTTTTTCAACAAACTATCTTTTCTGGTTTCGTAGATCGGTTAATACAAAAAAGGTATGAAATATTTTGTCAACAATGTCGTACGTATGTCAGCACAGAAGACTCGACCGAAACCTTATAACCATAATTCAACCATATTTTGAAAAAAAAGTAGTATTGTTAAAGAGGATTGTTTCAGGAGAACAAGAGAAAAAAAGGTAAAAAGATAAAGCAAGCTGGCAACAGAATGAAATGAAGCGAAAGTACAGAAAGAGCCGTACTATTAAGAAGAGCATTTTAAGAAAACAAGAAAAAGAAGGTCAAGAAAGTTAGATATAGAATAGAATGGAAGTGAAGATGAAGGAAAAGAGAGGAAGCTATAAAGCGGAAGCCAGAGGGAAAGAAAGTGAGAGAGCGACAGGCAGAGCAAGGGAGAGAAAATTTAAAACGATACATGTGATGTGAGAAAGGAACGATCCTTAGGGTCTGCAATTAAAGAAGATCGAAGTTCTATTCAAAAAGGAAACGGTATGAAATTTATGCGATGATTTTATTCAAGATGCTAGGCAAAGAAGCGAAGATTTATCGTTCACGGATAATTCGTTGACAGCTGGTGACGAACGGACGGGCGGAAGCGATGAAATCCGCCACCCATCGGTCTTTTCATCCGTACGTCCATCCATCCATCCCTCCGTTCGTTCCTTCGTTCTTCGTTCATCCATCCGTTGATCCATTTATTCGTCCACTCTTCCATGCATCCATTCATTCGGTCATTCTCCCGTCCATTCATCCATCCGTCTGTCCGTCCGTCTGTTCATCACTCGGCTCCGCTCTGGTGACGATCTCCGGCAGCGGAGGCAATGAAATCTGATACGAGCAGATCTCAAGACGGTTCGAGAAAAAACAAGGCCAACGACGTCCCAGCGAGGATAAACAGAGCGGCGCCATGTGACGATGTCACCAAAAATCTTTGTACTTTTTGCGAAATTTTATTTTTACTTTTTATCTATTATTTGTTTGTTAATTAGTTCCTTTTTCCATCAATCCAGTTGGTTCTCAAGTGTCATAAAACGGTAACTGCTTTGAAGTTTTACTTAAGTAAAGGGTGAAACCAGAAGTTATTTTGGAGTCATTTCTACAAGTGACCTTTCCTCTTTGTCTTCCTTGAAATACCTTCAAATTCCCGCTGGCAAAGTCAGCTTTTAGTGGCCTTCAAACCACTTTTCTTAGTTCTTGCTCTTAAAATCTCATCTACACCTTAATTGGTGTTTTTTAATCGAACTCTCATGTGGACAATTTGTTTACAATCAACACCCAGCATTATCTATCTAGAAGCGGAAGAACCAATCAATAAAATCGATATGCATTGTTGGATGTCATCTGCCAGTCAGCTGACAATGTAGCGGTTGAGTTTCAGTGAAGTTGATCGAATAGAGAAAGCGCCGAAAAAGAACTCATTTCAGGTGTTCTGGGGAAGGACTTAACCCTAGATGAAGATGAATGCCATCATTTACTGGAAAATAAGTGGGATTATGGACTTCTAGAAAATGAATAAAACCATAAACATTCAGTTAGGGAAGAAATGACATAAGCTGACACATTTCTCTATGCATAATGGTTTCTCGGCGCCACGACTCTCCCTCTCTTGAGAGAACTGGAAGAGAATGGAGAGAATAAACAGGCTTAATAGGTCGCCTTTCATCTCATTCAGATCGCCATCATCGCTACCATCACCATCATCATTTTCATCAACATGACCAGCTGAACCAGCCACCACCACCATCAACCACTTACGCCACCAGAAACCATAAATCAATACGAAAATGACCGGAGTCCATATATATGGATAGCATTCATTGTGAGCGTGCAACATTTTCCCGAGAGATTCCGGATAAACAATGCATGCAGAGATCGATGTAGAAGCAGTCCAGCTTCAGCGATGACGTCGGAAATTCTCACTGAAAGTTGTCACGTCTGAATCACTACAATATGCATTGTAGAACGTTTCCCACGAAGTCGATGAAGGAAAAGCAACAAAACTCCTCTTGGCACTATCACTGCACGTCGGTTTTACTCTTAGCTTATATATATTACATAAAGCTTGAAAAACAAAACGTTTGAGTGAGAGAAACGATCACAAAGCAATCGCAACGAAAGAAACCTAAAGCTATAAAGACGAACATTTGCGCAAAACAAAGGCAAAAAATCTGATTGTGATGTTCCTGAAAGAAGAAAAACGGAAGAAAAAAGGAAAAAGATGAGATCTCAATTTTTTAACCCTGGAAATAAACCTGGAAATGTTCGCAAACCATTGATGAGCGTCCGTTGTTATTTTCAATAGCTTATTATCGATAGCACGTTTTAAGCATTGGTTGACTAACATTAGCTCGTTTAGTAACATTAAAGCCATCATATTTGTATAGGTGAGTGGAGGCAGCACAGTGGTTAGTGATGCAGTTTATCAGGAGTCAAAGTGCTGGTTCGACTCCCTCCCAACGCTTCCCCGCAATCCATATGAGAAAGCCTTAGCCGGCTACTACCAAGATTTCAAGAAGAGTCCACTCGACCAGCATTTTATGGCATTCATGAAGAAGACAAAATGCTCAAGCAGCGGTCGAAGCAACGCGCGAAATGTTCCCAGACCATAATGGACGATGAATCAAGGGAAACGAATCGAATACAAGAAGTACTGGGATCCACATTATAGATGTGACAAAGGATCATGTAAAAAAAGATAAGAAGATAATATTGGGAAAGAATTGAGGAGCGACGGCAGGCTGATCAGTCTATCAATCTGTCTGGACTCTACCACGTAGAAACTGTGTCGTGAACGTCATAACGACCGCGATACATCCACGAACGCAACAAATCGACAGTCTGGGTGGTGACGATGCCATTGTGGGGTGTACCTATTCGAACAATCTCCGATCCCAAAATGTACGAATGCATTCGTAATAGAACTCATTCCCTTTTTTAAACGACAAAAGAAAACAGCTCCATCGGCATATCACCGTCATAATTTCTTCAAAAGAGGACGAACATGGAAGAATTACGGGAAAAAACGGCTGAAAAGCGCCAACTATAGTTGGATTTTCGTGCCAATTATAGCCCTAGATTTTCTCAACACAGTCCACTTTGTTTTACCATTTTATTTTCTGCCTACTACAATTTTCGCGGCAGGGCACTAAGCGAAATACAACCACAACGTTGCTGAGATATTTGCAAAACTCTGGATACCTGCGGTCCACAGTCCACTTTGTTGCACCAAACACTTGGAAACATTTTCCTTTCTTTTCATTTTTCCTTTTTTCTCTTTTCATTTTTTCATATATTGTAAATGTGTCCGCAGTGGATTTGTATTTTGCCTAATAAATTAATAATAACATGACAGAGGTTACCATAATAATCCATTTTAGTGAGATTTATGAACAACCTAACATGTTCATGAAAAAATGTTCCCAATCATAAAATTCTTCACGTCACTTAGTTACTTACTTGCCGACCTACTTCACTAACAAAGCCCATTTTAGCATAAACTCTAACTGGCATTTTGATGATTTGTCAGGCTTTTTTTCGTAAGGCTCATAACCATTTCTAGCCATGATCCCCATCACAAACAGACATCAAGCCTCGTGGATCGGGAGCAGTTCGTTTGGTCTTAACGTCAAAGTTCCACGCGAACAAGGATTGATGGTTTAAGTATAGTCTCCGCTGGGAAAAAGAAAAACGAAACTGCAAGAGACTGTCAAGTGGGTCTTTGAATAAGAATGTCGAACTCAGCTTGCTTCTAAGCGTAGATCAGTCTGTGCAGAAAATGATGCATATTGTCCAAGAACAATGTGTTATAGGCATTTGGGAAGAAAGGTCAGGAAGCAAGAGAAAAACAAAACTCAAAAAAATCATAAGAACGCAGTGCCACAAAAATATTCAATATTTAAAATTTAAGAGCGTTTTTAGATTCAATAACCTCTCAAGAAGGTTCGAATTCCCCTAGAAAACTGCTCGGATTTGTAGGTGGTATGAAGTGTTTCCATAATCTGACTTATATATAAGGAATTGTGTGTGTCCATTGGAAACCCTTAAACGAAAGCCTATTGAACGCAATATGATTACCAATACCCTATCCGCATGGTAGTAGTGGTGGTGAACGCGTTAGACCTAATGGCGCGTTCGTTCCACACTGCAGACACCTGCATTCAGGAGTTTTGCAAATATCTCAGCATC